GAGTTGGAATCGACTCGACAGCAATGAGTTTTATGTACAGAAGAGTTCTAACGTATCAAAACCACTTTTACAGGCGCTAACAAGACATTTCGCTTCAATAACACTGTTACCATAATGTTTCGAGAACACCATTAACCAAATATTGGTCGTGAAATATGCAAAGTGGTTTTACGCTATGGATATTGATTATAAACCTTATCCTGATTTTCTTTTCTTATGTAATGAGAAGAAATATATCTTTAATAAGGGAGGATAAAATTATGAATAAATCTTAAAATGTATTTCTAGATCATGAATTTCGTAAACAGGTTAACACAGGCTAAAATGGAATTAATCCCGGGTGTCAAGAGAGAATTAGATATTTGCTGGTTGTATTTCCCCTAATAGAGGGGCCCTAGTGGCACCGTGGTTAAGCCCTCAGCCGAAAGGTTGGTCTTTCTATCCCACCAGCCACTCTGAGAGAAAAGACCTGGTAATCTGCTTCTGGAAAGATGACAGCCTAGGAAACCCAATGGGGCAGTTCTACTCTGTCCTGTAGGGTCACTATGAGTCGGAATCAACTTGACATGAAGGATTTGTTTTTCCCTTATAATGACTGGGCCAGAGCTGAACTGTATGTGCCTGTGCGTGAATATGTGTAATGTTCTCTATCTATGTATTTAAAATGCTTTAGTAAAAGGATATTTATTTTTGGAATGACTTTTTAATATTCTTGTCTCTAGGATCAGAGGTGGTTGATCTTGATGGAAAAAGTTCCCTTCTCTATAGATTTGATCAAAATTCCATGAGCCCAGTAAAAGATATTATTTCTTTGAAATTTAAAACCATGCAGAGTGATGGGATTTTACTCCATAGAGAAGGGCAAACTGGAGATCACATCACATTGGAATTAAGAAGAGGAAGACTCTTTTTACTTATTAATTCAGGTAAAACTATTGGGGGAGGTGCTTGGATATCTGACTGTTTAGAAGTCCCTCAGATAACTGCATTTTCATAGCTTATTTTGAACAGTTAAAATGCATTATTTTTAGATTCAAGGACTTATGAGTGTGTATAGATCTATCTTTAACAAAGTTTTACTTTCATGCAAAAATGGTTCATATTTTACAAATTTGACAAGACTCTTTCTTGACATTTTTTACATAGCACTAATATAACTACATAGCCATTTTCTAGTATCATAAAGAAAGGGATGGGTCATTGAAAAATACTGATAGTAAAAATAATGAGCTTTTAACAAAGATGAAATTTACATAGAAAATGAGCATGCAATGAGTAATACTAATAAAAAGAATTAACAGGGGAAGAAATTACAACGGG